CGTAGTACTGAGAAGATAGATACTTTAAACAAGCGAATTCTTAGAGTTATCTTGCAGGATTATAATTCTCCCTATGACTCTCTACTTAGCAAAGTTAACTCCAAATCTCTGTATAAAAGACGCCTTCAGACTTTCTTAATTATATTGTACAAGAGCTTGTTTTTTAACTGCTATCCAGGCTATCTAAAGAATATGTTTAGTTTCCGGTCTGTATCCTATAATCTACGCGGAAATTATATTTTGTCTCTACCGTCTACAAAAACTACTACTTATGGTCTTCACTCCTTTTCATATATGGCTTCAAAACTATGGAACTCTCTTCCGGACTCTTTTAGAACGTCTGACTTTTCTGATTTCAAGCGCAAGATTCTACAGTATGACTCTTTCTCATAGTTAAATTTTAGAATGTTACAATTTTACATTTTACATTTTACATTTTAGTAGTATTTAGAATTACACTTGTAGCTCGAAGATACTAGCTTATTCTTTAGCTACTCCAAATTCGAGATTAAATAAAGTATATGTATGCATGTATGTATGTATTCTACATATAATCCAGGAAAACAATATTTAATTAGGTTTCATAGATTTTGTGCAATTCCATGGAATTAAGAGGTGTGTCCAAAAGGCCATTTGGAGAAAAACTTCTCTAACGGCCTTGTTCGCATCACGCGAAATTTTGTTTGTTTTGCAAAAAAAAAAAATCGGTCAACGCGAAACCATTTACAGTGCAAACGATTTTTTGACCTACCAAAATTTTCGCAAGTGCCACCACAGGAGCCCACACAAGCGGCGTGTCTGGTCGTTTGTTCGAACACAGGTAGCCCAAGCTCTCTATATGAACCACACAAGGAAAACAATATGGCATATCGATTTACAAGGATTTGAATGGAGTTTTCTACTAGATATCTATGGAGGTAGTTAAAAGTGAAAATATTCAATAAAAATGGCTTACCTTATTCCATACGTGTCTTGTTTGCTCCTGGCCGGTCGTTACTTTACCGATTTAACTTGATTTAAGCGATTTTTTTTTAATCCTGGTTTTCTCGTCTTAAAGAGAAGCGAAGGTTGGCAACCATGGCGGTCGACTACCTGAGATATAATCTCAGTTTTCGGACCAAAACATAAAGCTAGAACGTTTCAAATCCTCTCAAACTGCCCCTCTGCCAAGTTCGATAATCGTCCTTGATAGCCAACCGAAGGAAAATACTCAGTCCCCAATGCACGAAGAATAATTAGCCACGCAAGTTCCATTTCGTCGCCCTCAACTCTTATCGATTGAAGCTTGGATTGATAAGCCGTGCAACCAACCAACGAGCTGAATCGTTAACCAACTCCGATGTGGGTCCGCTAGGTGTTCTGTGGTCAGTTTTCAAGATGACAACTACTTCCCTGCCCTCCCCTAGGAAACAGTTAGAGAGCGGTTAAGAATGATGTACTGATTTACATTGCATAAATTTTGGTGGCTGCGGTGTTGGCTTGAGGCAGGCTATGCTAGTAAATATATTCTTCAATTGCTCCATGAATTACAGTGCAGGAGCGTGTGTTTTGTTTGTAGGTTTTACAGGTCCTTTACGTAAAGTAACCGTCAACGCAAAACCCACCAAATCACTCAAATTCGCTTCTCAGAGAGGGAGGGTTGTTTGGAAGGGGGACTTGTTAAAGAGGGGAGCTTGATATAGAGGGGAGCTCATTAGAAAGGGTGGCTTATTGGAGAAAGGGGTTTATCAGAGAAGGAGGGTTTAAACTTAGAGGAATCGTTGATTATACTAAATAAACCATTGTCATATGTAGTTCTATCAAGGATTACGATACCGTTCCATTTGTCGGGTTTCAAAATGACTTTGTCCCTGTTCTAGAGGGAGGGTTATTTGGAAGGGGGGCTTGTTAAAGAGGGGAGCTTCATATAGAGGGGGGCTCATTAGAAAGGGTGGCTTATTGGAGAAGGAGACTTATCAGAGAGGGAGGGTTATTAGGAAGGGGGGCTTGTTAAAGAGGGGAGCTTCATATATAGGGGGGGGCTTATTCGGAAAGGGTGGCTTAATGGAGAAGGGGGTTTATCAGAGAGGGAGGTTACTGGGAAGGGGAGATTGTTAAAGAAGGGAGCTTGATATAGCGGGGGATCATTAGAAAGGGTGGCCTATTGGAGAAGTGGGCTTATCAGAGGGAGTTGCTTACCGGAGAGGAGGGCTTATTAGGCAGAATAGATTGTGCTAATATATCCAGCAAAAGTTGCTTGAATACGCCCAAAAGTTGCTCAAAAATTTAAAAGTTGCCACCCAAATTTATAAAAGTTGCTTACTTTTGAGGGTCATTTTGTTCTAAATTACTACTCAAAACATGACCTTGTACGTCTAATTTAACATAATTTGTTGTGATCAATATAATCTCAACGTAACTAATAAAAGAAAGTACTTTCTAATGACGTTTTGGATAGTCTTGCACACAATCCCAAGCGCATGTTGTGTTTTCTTTCCCTAAGGACGAGGTCGAGCTACCGATTCTCGTTCTTTGTACTGATTTGGCTTCGTTGACGTGAATTTGGCGCTTTCTAGAAGTTGAAGCTCTTGCAGGACACTTAAGAGTTGCCTCAGCGGCTATGGTAACCTCAACAGGGTCAATATCTGTATTATTTTCATTTTCCTCGTTAGACATTTCAGCGTCTAATTGTGGTGCCTTGCATGCGCGGGAAGCTCTGTCGTTGGAGCGAATAACCACTAAATGTAAGTGCACGTTAGATAAATAACTGCTTTCCAGTTTGTGGGTGCACGTGTTATTTTATAAATTATTTGTAAGAACGTACGAAATCCTTAGTTTTGACCAGTTTTAACAACAAACCTTTTGATAAAGACCGTTTTGATGGTTTGGTCAGTTTTTAACTATTTGTTGACTCAAAAGTTAAGTTGCCAAGGAAGGCAAAAGTTGCTCTAGGTTGCTGACCATTGCTCGCAATACGAAAAGTTTCTGAAAATGCTAAAAGTTGCTCAAAAGTGGCCGAGCACAATCTATTCATGCCTAGGGCTTATCAAAGAGGAGACCTCATTAGAGAGGGGGGCTTATAAGAAAGTTGGGCTTACTAGAAAAGGGGGGCTTATCAGAGAGGGGGCTTATCAGAGAGGGGGCTTATTAGAGAGGGGGCTTATTTGAGAGGGGGCTCATTAAAAAGGCGGGCTTATTAGATTGGGGGGCTTATTAGAGATGAAGGTTCCCTAGGGAGGGGGCTAACAGAGAGGAATGGTAGGGCATTCAAAGTTTTTAGATTCCCAGTTCATGAATTTAAAAGTCAAAGGTCAACACCCTCCGTCATGAACAAAGCTGGTCTCAACAAACATTTCACTGCCAGAAAAGCTGTCTTTTAAGATTCATACATTGTAAGCATTCAAATTCTTTAAAATACTCATTCCTTAATCGTGAACTATTAATTCGACCTCCGAGATTCTGGCTGAGTCATCGGAAAAGAATACAACAAGCTAATGCTGTTTTTAATGATAATCAAAAACGGTAAAATAAATGTAATTCAAAGAGAACTGGAAATGCTAACATTTCTATCTTTCGTGACTCCTGTAAAATTCTTAACCATCTTTGGATTCGTCTCCGCGTGACAGCGACGAAAATTATCGACACCGAGTTTCGTTTTATTTGCAAAAAGAAGAAGGCTTGGGCAAATAATCTAAACCAAGGCCTTAATGATTCTCGCTATCGCGTCAGTTTTGTGTTTTTGAAAAGGCTTGCGTGAGCGCCTACCAAAACAGAAACTGAGAGAAGTTTGGTTATTTTCATAATCTATATATTATAACCGTTACATTGATTTTTATAGTTCTCCGTGGTTTCTTTAAAAGTAGCGCGCGCAAGACGATTTTTAATTTCCGGAGGCGAGAATTGTATACACCGTGTCTCGTTTTATTGGCAAAAAGAAGACAGCTTGGCAAATAACACAAACCGGTAAGGCCTCAATGATTCTCTCTATCGCTTCAGTTTTTGTTTTTAAAAAGGCTTGCGGCGCACCTACCAAAACAAAAACTAAGAGAACTTTCATAATCTATATTTTGTAAGCTTTACTTTGATATCTATAGTTCTCCGTGGTTTCGTTAAAAGTAGCGCACGTAAGACGAATGTTTAGTTTCCGGTAGGTACCTTATTTTGTTTACAGTAACCTTGGAGAATATTTATTCGATTCTAGAAAATTAGAACTCGTTTGTTTCACCTTTTTTTTCAAAGATGTCAAAAGCTTGTAATGTAAATATTGGAAAAGCTAGGCAATTTTCAGTAAGATCATCATTCATTTAGCTTAGAACATTATCTTCAAAACTGTGTCGCATCTTCATCTGTCACGCTGAGACGAATCCAAAGATGTCAAAAGCTTGCCATGTAAATATTGGAAAACTTGGCAATTTCCAGTTAGATTATCATTCATTTTGCCTAGATCATGATCTTCAAGACTGTGTCGCATCTTCCGGCATTGTGTAACTACGTGCTTGTTTGAAACTACGCAATCCAAGATCTTTCGTGATATGGTTTTCGATAGATTTAGAAATGAGCTTTGAAACCTTGCAGCTTACATTCACAGAGAAAGCTGGTGAATCCCATTGGCCTTATCTATAACCCAGCTGCATGCAACTAAGTTGGACACACCACTTTTCAAAACTTTGGTTTAATTTGCAGTTCCTTTCGCAGGTTTGGCTCCATACCGACTCGCAGGAAGAAAATTTCTGCAAGCTTTTATTAACATGTACAAGTTTCCTCAAGAACTAAGTCTGGTCAATTTGGTCAGAAAGGGAAGATGTCAACATCGACTATTGAAATAAATTCAGAACTCACAACAGGATTTCTCGAGGCGACGCCGCGATTAAAACGATTCATTTTGCTTTTTTTCTTTTTTGGACAAAAAAACGATTCAAACGATGTATTGTCTTACTCAGTTCCCTGACGTTGCTATATTGAAGAAATAGATCGCTGCCGCGAGGCTGGTTTAGGCAAGTATTTGAAAAGTGTTTGACTTGATCAGTTGTTTTTACCGATCATATTCCTCTTTCTTATCTATTTATATTTTTCTTGTAGCGTTCATCGATTGCTTGGAAAGGCTTTGTTTCCGATGACAAAAATCGGTACTCCGTTGGTGTCTACTCTACAAAGAATATCGATCGTGTCTAGGGATGAAAGTCTGGGAAGCATTTCCCAAGTGTCATACTCTTTCGGCTATGTTAGAAAGTCAATTTGGTAAGCCTAAAGAGGAGGATGTCCGACAACGACTGTTGAAATTAATTCAGAACTCATAGCGGGGTTCCCCAAGGTGCCGCCGAGACTGAAACGATTCATTTTGCATCATTTTTTTTTCGGACAACAATCAAACGATTAACTGTCTTACTCAGTTCCCTGACGTTGCTCTATTGAAGAGATGGATCGTCGCCGTGAGGCTGGTATACGCAGGTATTCGAAAAGTTATAATTTGAATATATCAACAAAGTTGAAATGGTAAATTGGCCACCGTCACGATTATAAAAGCTGACGTTTCGAGCGTTTGCCCTTCGTCGAAAAGTTATCCGTTGTTTTCACTGATTATGTTCCTCCTTCTTACCTCTTTTTACTTTTCTTGTAGCATTCATCCATCTTTTGGAAAGGCTTTGTTTCTGATGACAAAAATCGGTACTCCGTTGGTGTCTATTCTACAAAGAATATCGACCGTGTCTAGGGTGAAAGTCTTGGAGGCATTTCACAAGTGTCATACTCTTTCAGCTGTGTCAAAAAGTCAATTTGGTAAGCCTAAAGAGGAAGATGTCAACAAGGACTGTTGAAATTAATTCAGAACTCATAGCAGGGTTCCTAACGGTGCCGCCGAGACTGAAACGATTCATTTTACATTATTGTTTTTTTCGGACAACAATCAAACGATTAATTGTCTTACTCATTTCCCTGACGTTGCTTTCTTGAAGAAATAGATCGTCGCCGCGAGGCTGGTATACGCAGGTATTCAAAAAGTTATCCGTTGTTTTCACGGATTATGTTCCTCCTTTTTACCTCTTTTTACTTTTCTTGTAGCATTCATCCATCCTTTGGAAAGACTTATTTTCCGATGAAAAAAAACAGTGCTCCATGGTTTCTATTCTACAAAGAATATCGACCGTGTCTAGGGGTGAAAGTCTGGGAGACATTTTCCAAGTGTCGCACTCTATCGGCTGCGCCTAAGAGATTGAAGAATTATTTTTCAGAAGCATAATGCAATCTCTGGAATATCCGTGTCGTTGGTCATGGAGTATTTTGCGATCCTTTCTTCCAGGAAAGCACTTACCACGACAGCTATGACAGCGTAACCACATAACACGATCACCGGGAGGAACAGAGAATGAACGCGAGCACCAAAAGCACCCTGGGTAACTTTAGAGGGGTGTGCAGAAAATGGCGGTGCAAATTTGAGATATAGCGCTAGCTAGAAAGTTTATGAACGAAGAGCACGCGAAAAAGCCAGGTGAACTTACATGTTTAACATTCCACTCCACAAATCTGAAAAGAGTTACAAGTTTATTTTGCAAGCAATCTGCTATCAGAGGAATGGAAGAAGTACATCGAAATGGTATGGTAAATTTGGTTTTGTATTAGGTATTCTATTTTTATTTTTCCACTTCATAAGAATAGCTGAAACCGGCTCTTTTACGATAAAGGAAGACGAAATTTGATGTTGACACGAGCTAAAAAGACTTTCTATCAGATTCACAAGGGTAATTCACATAAACGAGCTAGTTTTTACGGAACAGTCAAAAGTTATCTTATTTTGCTTTTAGGGCAAACTAGAAAAACTGTCGCCTTAAATAAACTAATTTTACAACCTTTGTTTATTGTGGTATACCTTCTTTTCGGTTCTACCGAATGCCATTTACAAATTTTTCAAAAGGCATCTGAGATAATGTCTTATTGCTGTTATGTATCGTAATGTGAATGAACAATTTTTATGTTGGCTGTACTTAAAACGTTTATGATGATGGCTTGTATCATGTTTGGTCCATATGCGACCTGAAACGCGTGATAAATTGCCAAGTAATTTTACCATACACGTCGAGATTACTATACTTTCTACTTAACCTGCCCTAACGCAAAACTGGGTAATAGTCTAAGGGGAAACTATTTGATAGGTGGTGGATTTCCGTGTTTCATTCTTAGCTTGGCTGACCGAGACAAATGGAATTCCACAAGACTTGTCGTACAGGTATACAGGTATACAGGTAGGTGATGGCCTAACCAAATTTAAAATCAGAGGGGAGTTTTTTGAATTATGCATCATAAATCATCATGACACAACTGTCCGCATGGCATTCAGTCTCAAGTTTTTCAATCCTTCTCCCATGCAGTTTGGCTTTTTTCAAGCTTTACACTCCCACAATGATGGCAAAAGCAATTTTAAAAACGTATTTTATGTGGTTAAATAGAATTACGCCGCCTGTGTAGTTTTCGTCACAAATACGTTATCATCTAATAAGTAGTTAATGAAGAGTACGAGTCAGGACTTAAAAACGTTATGTTGAAGAAATATTTTATCAAAAAAGATTAATTAGGGAATGGTGCATTTCAAAGTCAATCTTTATGCAAAGATCCATGAGAATTTCGCGTACCCATAGAAATATATCTGTTTTCATGCAAAAAAACAGGATTGTGAAACAGAGATGTTGGGGTCAAATGCAGGAGCTACAAGCCATAGACTTAGGTACGTAAGCAAACTCCACATTCCTACATTATACGATGCCGGTGAAGAAGCAGTATAACTAACGTCAAAGGAAAACAAAATCGTATAATTACTGATATAACACTAGAAACAATATACAAAAAACACTTTAATAATTCCCTTTTATCTCTATCATTTCAGAGACATGAACAGTGGATTGCAAGTTATGGAAGAAAGCATAAAAATTCGAGATTATGTTCTTCAAATGACACGAGAGTAGTAAATGAAAAAAAAGGGGAGGAAACTTAAAACGAAACTGTACAGACCTTGATAATGACGGTTATGATTATTATTGTTTTTCATCCTTGAAAATTAGCCTTGTGGCCGCTTTTGAGGAAACATTATGTTGTTTTTTGAACCGTTTTGTTTAGACTAGAAATGCTAATATATACTGGAAAATTATTCATGAAGAGGTCTCCAGGCACTGATTTATCAACAGAAACGGCTTAAGTATGGTTATAAAGCTGAAAATAAGACTAAATGACACAAAAATTACTTTAACTAATCCTCTTTATGTGTTTTTTCTGATGTGATGAGAGATTAACATAAACTTGCAAGTTATGACGGAAAGCTGGAAATTCGAGATAATGCACTTGAAATGATAAGAGATATCTAGATTTTAGAAAGAAAATAACAAGTTCGATGAATTAGACAACCCACACAAAATTTCAAAATTTCTGTTAAAGAGGGTATCCAACTACACTGAAGAAGTTGATTTTTCAGCTTAAAGTTTCTCAAAGGGGGTTGAAGAGGGAAGAAGGAACCTTTGGACAATATCATCGAAAGATTAGCAATGTATAAGTGGATTCACCAAAAGGTTTCAGTTTTAATTGTATTTTACTTGATAAATTGGATGACGATGATGAAAAGGCTATTGTCTCATACAGCTGAGTGTAGTTTTAGCTACTCATTCAATGGGGAATAAAATTCACAAATGGTAAACTCATATTGATATTCTCTTGGTCTTTCAAGGTTAAGCTTTCTTCAAATTCTGTGTTTTTTCTTCCACTTCATTAGAAGTTCTAAAAGAAGAGTCAATAATCGCTTTTTCTCAGGCTGCGATATAAGCTGCCTCAGGTTTAGTCATGGTACTCACGTTATCTTTCACTATCAGCATCCTTGGCTACACCATGCCTCTATCGAAAAACCAGAGTCGAGGCGACTCCATGCCTACACTCCCAGAAGTCGAGACGACTCCATGGCTACATCATGCCTCTATCATTTTTTAAAATGATAGAGGCTATCATTTTAAAAAATTATCTCAGGAAATGCCTCCGTAACTTCCAAATAATGACTGGATATAACTTCAGCTTGACAGAGATTGTTTTTTTTTTTCATAGAGGGTCAAAATAAAAGGATTATCGGAAGGTCTTCCAGATCATACTCTATGTAACATTTTCTTCATTAGTTTGTATCATTTAGTAAAATTCTCCATTTTGTGGAAAAAGTGATGTTTCATAGTTCTGACAGACTTGACAAACCCCTTTGAGACAACAAATGTGGAAGAGAAATCTGTCATGAGTTTTTTCGTTGTGCTAACCTTCTTTCAATAACCAGCATGCAAGCTATAAAATAGTTTTGCTTTTACGTCTTGAGTGGAAGTAGATTCAGCATCGCTAAGGGACTGGTCACTAAATATCACCTGGAGGAGCAATGGGGGTATGGAGGATTTTGGTTGTGTTATTGACCAAGCAAGAGGTTAGGATGGTTGGATATTAGTCGAGTCATTCTTTTTTCTTTTTTTTTTTTAGCGTTTTTATGGACCTCGACTACGTCTCGGTCCATAGAGACGCAAATATCTATCCGTCTAATTTCCATTTAATATCCAGCCATCTTGACCGAATAAGCTTGGTTAAATAAATGTTTTATCATATGGCAAGAAGATTTCACTTTAATAAGAATCAAGAATGACTTGTTTGTTTCGAGAGCCGGGAAAGAAAGCCAACTATGGCTATGGTACAATACATACACGAGGGTCGTTTATAATTTTTTTGTTTTGACCGTCTTCTGCCGCTTTTTGCGACTTCATTGCCCACATCGTCCAAAAGTTGCGAACTTTTGTAAGTCCACGCCACGCCCTTTTGTCCTTCCGCGAGATCATATGGTGTAGTCCCGTGCGGGTAGGGTGGGCCCTCTTGCATGCTCATACAGCCAGTCAGAACACAGGTTTCGCTTTATATACCAATTACCACCAGGTGCTGCCAGCTATATAATAAGGCTATTTATTATTCCGCTGGTAGTGCCCGTGGGGCATCGTGGATTTTATTTTTATGGGATGTCCAAATTAATGCCACACAAGGTATATGCGTGCGACTAATTTTACAGGTGGCTGAAATCGTCAAGAACAGAACTAAACTTGAAACTCAAGTTTACAGAAAACCAACAAACACTGGATTTCTCCTGCACTTCCAAAGTCACACTGATAACCGCTCTAAAGACTCTTTATTAAAGACAATGATACATCGTGCCTATGCCTTGTCGTCTACAATAGGCTTTCAATGCAGAATGTGCCAAGTTGCGCTCTATATTTAGTCGCCTTGACTACCCGATGAGTCTTACTGATTCTGCTATCAACACTTCTTTTCCGGAACACTTCAGCGAACAAAGCAGAAAGAAACAATGATGAAAGTAGCATAGTAAGAATTAGTCTTCCATTTAAAGATCAAGTGGCCGCTAATGCGGTTCGGAAGCAGTTACGCGATCTTAGCTCTAAGATTGGCCTTACTTTGCAGCCAATTTTTGTGAGCAAGACATTGGAGCAAGATCTAAAACCCAAAGAAATTAAGCCGTCAATTGTTAATGGGCAGTGTGATGTGTATCTTTTTTCATGCGATTTGTGTGATGCAAATTATATCGGATACACAGCCCAACACCTTCATCAACGCATTGCTGAGCACAAAAATTCGGCAATCGGTAGACATTTCTTAGAAACTCACGGAAACAACCTCTTGAAAGAAAACCGATTCACAGTTTTGAGAAAGTGCCAGGGCAAATTTGATTGTTTAGTATTTGAAATGCTCTTCAACAAGAATCTTAGGCCTAATTTAAATATCCAGACGGACTCCATACGTGCGAAACTTTTTGTTTAATATTTTTAATCTTCTTGGCTCACGTTAAAGCTTTTAATCAGTTATTGCTTTCTTAAGTATTTATAGACTGGAACTCACAAACATATTTTGACTTGATAATGACGTTTAGCCAACGTCGAAACATCGTCGTCTTTTCAATATAGAGGCAAGACCGATACAACGTAGATAAGTAAATTTTAAAACGGAGCACTATATTTCGGCTGGCCAAACCAGCCTTCTTCAGGTGCAAAGGGAATTAACAGTGAATTGGGGTGATGCTTCATAGATAGCTATATGATGTAACAGCGGAAATATGTAAAACTAATTTGATTGACAATGAGATAACGATAAAAATAGAAATAGTGAGCAAAAATAGAAATGAAGTAAGGTAAATTGGATAAATAACTAGAAACTAATACATTTCTTCGCGAGCATTAAGGCCATCTGGATAAATAGTGTTGCCTCTTGAAATTAAAAAAGCTTCCCTGGCCTTGCGTATCGAGTCTCTGTTGGAAAACA